CAACTGTTGGAGACACCATAGAGATCAGGTTGAGACAGTTCTGATGTGATTTTTCTTATGTTGGTTTGTAAAGTGGAAATCTGGTATTTAAGCAGATTATGTGATCCCTTTTAATTGTTTTGATCACTTTATAAAAAAAAGAAAGGAAGGCGGAGTATAAGAATAGATATCTGACTCATCTAAGTGTGTGTAGGTATATATATATGGGCACTATGATTTCTCTCTATTTGTAATACAGTATATCAAAATAGCTCTTCTGAAAACAATTCTATTGCAATTTTTTAGTCTTCTCTATAGTGTTGGTCTGAGGGGATGGATATAGTAATATGGAAATCTCTTAGTAGAGATTATGATATTTTCATCCCTTAATTTGCAGAAAAGACCAAATGTTGCATTAGTTCTAACTGTAATTCACTGTGTGAATCAACACTATCGGGCTCTTGTGTAGGAAAAATTTCTTCCTTTTGTTTCTAGACTCAGCTGTTTACCTCTCCCTTGAAACTAATTTTAGCTCATCTAAAACATGCACATTTTTTATTTTTGTTTGTTTGTTGTTTTTAGGAGAAGGGGGGAGTAGGAGGTGGTTGTGATATTGGCATAGATTTAGCATTTACAGCAGAGGTAGTTTTCATCAATTTCTGACAAGGGAATCAAAGTGTTCTTTTTTGGAAGAAGAGATATTGCTTTTCCATATAAATGATTGACTATTTTGTGGTAGTAGTCTTTATTTATTTGGCTCTCATCATGAAGAATAGCAAACTTATTCAAAATCTCAGTACATCAAAAATATGTCAATACATAAAACATAAGTACTATTCCATACTAGAGTCTATGCAAAAAGCTATGTTAATAAGATGTGAAGGTTGCACAGCTAAGAAGTCAGAAAACATAAATGATAAGATTCTAGCAGCCACATTAACTGAGCCACATTTCACATCCTCTATATTTTATGAAATGCCTTTGACAACATAAATCAGAAAGAGAAGGTGCTATATATGTGCAACATGGCTCAGTTAATGTTGCTTTTGGAACCTTAACATCTGTATTTTCTGACTGGAGAGTTTTTTAATCATGTAATCTTAGTAGTTTTTTTACATTATTCTTTTCTTTTTCCCTTTTTTTTTTCTTTTGTAGTCCACTATTTTTAGAAGAGAGGAAAATTGCCTGTACTGATAACTGGTTAGCTCATGTTGCTTTGATTTAAGCTGCAGTAAAAGGCAATATATAGAGAGCACCTCATGACAGATACATATGTGATGCCGTATACATTGCACTGACAAGTGGTGTAATTGTGCTGTTGTGCAGTTTTTGAGGAAAAGGGGAATACAGGAATGTGTTTGAAGTCCTGTCCTTTCTGTCCTGCACATTAACAGTAGTACTGAGTATGACTGCATTGCAGACTGCGTCTTGTGGAGATACTTGAGCTGCCTTTTTAAATGAACTGGCTTGTGTACAAAAAGCAGTCTGGCTATAAGAGCGTGGATCTCCCTTTGACCTAATTCACCCTTCTGTAGAGCACAGCAAATTAGCCGAGCACAGCTTTTGGTGTAGGCTCCTGCCAGTGCTGAGCCAGTTTGCAGATCTGTGTACTGCACTGCAGTCTTCAACATAGACATACATTTAATGACTCTGCAAAATCTACTACCTTGCAAGTTCTGGAATGGGGATTATTGTGCTGTGACACAGAAACATGCTTTTTATCCTTTTGCTTCCTTGCTCTAGGTCACTGGGTGGACCAGTATCAGGCCCAGTGTTAATATTTTAAAGGCTCTTAATAAGATTTTAAAGTTCCTACTCCACTGTAAAGGCAAGCAGTCTAGGAAAGACAGTAACATAGGTGAATGTTGTGACCAATGTATTGTCAAAAGGTCAAAGCCAAGTGATAAGTAATATAATTTATAGAATGTATGAATAAAATACCTTAGCATCAGGATTTCTGATTTACCTCTGATTAATAGCCTTGACACTAACACCGAACTTTTTACTTGCTTTCCTTTGAGATTTTTTTGGTTTGGTTTGATTTGGTTTTGTTTGGGGGTTTTTTTGTGTCTTTCAGTGAGGAGGACTTGTAACTTCATTAAGATTGTGTGTGCACAAGAATGCTGGGGTTGAACATGTTGATTTGAGAAAGGAGACCATGCTGCCTTAAAAGCATTAGCATCTTCCACTGAACATGTGCCAGAGGTTTTCCTATACTGGGATATTATATTTTTCTTCTTTCTATAATTCATCTAAACATACAGATAAAGACCTGGACTTTTGTGACTTTGAAAGTTATAGATATGAACCATATTTTTTTTAAGAATGGGAAAGTCAGGGGGCTAGTTTTCCATTACAGCTTTCTATTTGAAAGTATGGAGAAATGCGTGGTCTGAATGTCTGAGGGAAAATACTTAGGTTTTGGCAGAGGTCTGGCTTTGGAAATCTAAGACTGAAGCAGTATATATTTCAGAAAACTGCAAGAGTTTTATTTGAAGGTTTGATGGAAACCGTGTGACAGCTTTCTTATAGTTACTACTGAATTGACCTCTGTAAAATTAAAATAATTAGAATTAAATCTTACTATAACCTTTTGTTAACTGAAAGAATGTGCTGTTTACTCCTAGTGTAAAGTACCAGGTGGTAGGGGTTTTTTGTCCTGAGAATCCCACCCACTATACATTTTTTACTCTAATTTTTACGTAATTACAGTGGTGCTGTATAGGTGCTAAGAAAGTGGAATGCTACTGATAATTACATTTCCGAGGATGGTACTTGTTTCACAATGTTCTGTATCATGTTTCTCAGCAAAGTAGGCCACTGAACCAGGTAGTGCCACCCTTTCTTCTGAGTGCCACCCCTGCCTCTGGAGTTGCGTTTTCCTTCTCTCTGTAACAGGGCTTAAAACTGATCAGACCAGACACACCTCCCCCAGATTTTTGTATCATGACACTGTGGTCCACAGCTTCCAAATTGTGCTGTTGCCTTCTACCAGTATCATCCAGGATCTGCCTCAGTTTTTGGGCACCAAACAGACTGCAAGGAGAAGCAATGACCGATGGGGCCAAGACTCTTTCTATGTAGTGAGCATGTCATGGTATCTGAGTGTTCCTGTGGGTCATGTGAGCCTTTTGTGATAGAGGACACGTAAAGGTTCTTCCATTATTGACTGCGTCTCAACATCAGGATGGTTTAAAAGTGCAGTAACTACATACCGCTGGTATTATTAGTGTACCTATGCTAACACATTAATTCTGTTACATTTTAATTTTAAAAATTATTTTAATGACTGTAATGCTGTCTAATGATGCTTATCCTTTGATATCAGTCATGGATTGCGCATGCAAAAATTGCTTAAAACTTCCATTACTATCAAGGTATTACCTGGACAAAGAATGTCTGCCACTAGACCCTTTATTCAAACAAGGATTAAAGATAATGAGTTAAGTTACAGATTTAATTGGATTTCCCCCATCTCTTCATTTTGGCTGCCAATTTTGCTCTTCTTTTACTCTCATTCTTTCTTTTTTTGTGTTCAGAGTGGTTTAGTCACTAATGGTCAGTCATACTTTTCCCAAAATAATGTTATTTGTACTGTGTAAGTCAGATAGGAGTCAAAGTAATTATTACAGTTTCTGTGCTTGCCTAGAAATAGATTCAAACTTAGGTCTGCTTTCTCTTGAACCGTCCCAAGAATGTGTGCACTACTAAAGGCACGATGAAGTTTCCCAAATTCTCATCTCCTGCATTGTGTGGCCACAAAGAATGTGGGAGTAAGGGAGAATGGGAGGGAGGGTTTACTTATAAGGAAAGAGGATGTTTGGGACATTCACTCCAACCATTGTAAATAATTGGCTTCAGGTTTGTTTTATTCTGGGGAGATTTTAATTACGCTTTTTTTTTTCATTCTGTTTAATAAACATTTGTCCATAAGCGGTATCTTGTGATCCCCATCAGTAAAGGAGAAGGATTAATTTGCACGTAGTTGTTTGTTATTTATTTAAATCGTCGCAGAAATCATATTGAGTGCTCTGCTAAGGCAGCGGTGATGGGCTCTGCACTGAAGAGTACAGCATCTAAATGTACTTGTATTTTAGGTGGTGGTGTTTGGTTGTTTTTCTAAAACAGTTTGGATTTGGAGGATATGGAGGAAAATGCCAACATGAGTAACTGATATGTAAGATCAGAAGAGGAGCCTGGTATTCCTTTTTAAACCAGTGTCTGGAAGCAGATTGCTAGGGAAAATATTTAGGAAATATTTAAGAAATAGCTTCTGGCAATCAAGGTGTTGTTGCTCTTCAGGTTGCTTATGTTTGTTACTTATCACCTTGCAGACCAAATCTTCATTGCTTTCTTGTGGGACTTGAATATCTATTGCAGAGAGGTTAGAACATGGGCATGGTGCTATCAGGTCAGATCAGGGGTTCATGTAGCCCTGTATCCTACCTCCAGTGGAAGCTTTAATTGGATGCCTAGAGCGGAGTCAGAATAAAGGAAGCATATGATATTTCCTCCAATACTCTCCAAGCCTCCAGCTATTTTCAGTTCAGGGACTTCCTGAGCCAGATGTGGCTCTACATATTTGGTAACCCTCAGAGAATGTCTCTTGTGAACTTGTCCAGTGTTTGCTTGAGCCCACATAAACTTTCAGCTTTCAATTTGGCAAGGAGTTTCAAACATCTGGTGCCTCTGTGACTAGAGAACCTGTCTCTCACTTGTTTTGAAGTTTGCTTCTTCCATCAAATGCATCCTAATCGTTGTGTTGGACAAGATGCTTTTGTAGCTTTCCATCCTATTCCTACCTCCTGGTGTCTTTTCCATACTCAAAGGGTTATAGTTTCTTTGTATGGAAACTGTTCCATACCTTTGATGATTCTTGTTGTATTTCCCTGAACCTTTTTGTCTGACCATTCTTAGTAAGTCCAAAAAGTCTGTAGAGAGGGATTTTCTTTTGCAAAAGCTGTGTTGATGTTTCCTAATTCTGATCTTCATTTTTATCTGTCCTGATTTATCCAGAACAGTGATTGGTCTTGTGTAGTCTCAAATTTCTTTTTTTTTTTTTAAAGCCATACTCCAATTTTCACCTCCTGCGAAGGCAGCTCCAATTTAGCGGCTGTGTATGGTCATTAGTAATTAATCGTTTTGAATTTGATTAGACCTGTGGAGTGATACTGTATAGTCCCAAACTATTTCTTACCATTCGTCACTTTGTTCCACAAAAAGTCCCATCAGATTCAGACACATTCATCAAGTTCTTCACAAAGGAGGACTCCAGCATGGGAACCCCCCAAGATTTTTCCAGAGTGAGAACAAAAATTTGTTAAGCTTCTCTGTCATGGCACTGTGTTCTCTGTATCTCCTTTTAAACCTCCATTATCATTTGTCATTTCAGACTCTCTGGCAGACTTTCGACTTCTGATGTGTTTGAAAAAATGAATCATTACTCATTTGATTCCCTTTCCTAGCTGTTTCGCCAGTTCTTTCTGGCCTGCCTTATTACATTTGAAGTGCTGGAGTTTACAGTCTTTTCTGTTTTCCTCATTCGGACCTGGTGCTGGCTTATTGAAGGGGATGTCTTTTTGCTTCTAGAAAGCCGCAATGAGCCATGCTGGTTCCTTTGCTCTTATCAAGTCTTTCTGAATAGGTGGTGAATATTATTTCTGTGCTTTCCATGTGGTTGTTGTTAAGCAGCTTTGATGCTGTCAGTCAGATTTTATTTCTCATAGCTATCTATTAGAGCTTCCTTTCAACAAGCTTTCTCTTTTTTATATAGTTACACTTTTTGAAATTAAGCACAACCGTAGTAGATTATTTGGGTTTCATTGTTCCTGTAGGGATGCTTAATTTAACTCTATTATGGTCACTGGTGCATAGTGGTTCTGCAGCTGTGGGGTGTAGAAGAAGGTGATTTCTACTGCTCTGGACTGAGCCAAAGGCAGTGGCTTCTCATGCAGGTTCCCTAACTAGCAGCTCCATGGAACAACCTTTGACAGTTATCTGATACTTTGGTCTCTGCTTTGTAGTATGCTTACTCAGTCTATGTGGGAGGAGTTGAAATCTCCCTCTAATCAATCTTGCAGCGTGCCTTTACTGATCTTGCTTACTGTGCTGCTGTCAGCGTTGCTGTAGTATGGCCATGCCTGGTGGTTCCAGCACTGACTTTTCCTGATCTGACCAAGCTCCAGACCTCTGCTGCTTGGTGAGGTGGAGTTTTACTTTGATTTTTTTCTAAATGCTATGTAGCATATAAGGTTACTTTGTCATCAGCTGTCTTCCCTATGAATTTGTATCCTAGGATGATGCAAACTAGTGACCCACTAATTGTTTCCTTTCTACCATATTTCTAATATGACTGTTGCTAGTGTTTTTGTTTGCAGCTTGATGTTCCAGTCCCCCCTCTTTGTGTAGAAGTCAATGTGTTGTTGGAATTTCTTCTCAACATTCTATTTACTCTGTAGTCACTGTGTGTCTGTTTTCGTTCTTTGATTCTTCTCAGCATCGTCACTTGATGACCCAGAATCTCTGTGTCTTCATTTGGCATAGCAATGCCATGGTTTTGAACCATGTGCTCTTCTAATCCCCTCTATTAATTTTAAAATTTCACTTTCTTGATCCTTAGGTACCAGCAACCTGGCTCCTATCTTCAAGTGAACTCCAGCCCTCCTAAACAAGTATCTTTATTCTAGAAATATTCTGGTTCTTCATGAACCTGATCTTTTGTTTTGTCACCATCCTGTCAACTGGACATTCCAAGTTCTCTTTTTCTTTTTTCCAGAAGCCCATATTTTGCTGTCAGGATATCTTTCCTTTTCTTCCTAGTGTTACTAGGAAGTTACTAGTGTTACCCAGATGGACCACAACATAGGTTTCTCCTCAGCATTGCCTAGGAACCAGTCCAGGCTCTGTGACCTTTGCAGCTGACGGGCAAATAACCATGTGGTCTTCTGTCAGATCCCAGACTCCAGCTGTCTGTTTGCCTGATGATATTCCAACACACCCTTCTTAGTTTGCATTATAAAGGCCTCATTTATGCATCAGCAGGGAGAGGCTATTTATCAGAAAGGGTTGCTTTGGTCACAGAAAAATCTAACTGCCTGTGAAATGATGGTGAAAGGAAACAGAAGCACAAGTGAAGAGAACAAGTGCAGAAGTGGGGTTACAGCACTGACCTTAGGAGTTAGCACGGCCAGCTTCTGGCAGAAGTAATAGAGCAGATCAAGTTGTGGTAATAAAAACAGCCTAAATAGGCATTTAAACTTGACTTTGTATTATTACTATTATCACCCAACAAATACTACTGTATTGTTGAATTAACGTAGTAAGTTAACATTAGGTAGAACAGGTATGTGTTTATGTGTTGAGTAAACAGATTTATCCGTCTATCAGAAACTCGGTGGGAGCAGTTCAGAGATGAAAGCATTTCACATGTGCTCGGGTATCTGAGACACTTGCTTAGGGCAGGGATGTGCAGGACCAACAGGTCCATTCTAGAAGGGAGAAGTCCTGTGCTGCCTCTGTCATTTGTCTGAAAATGATACTAAATTCCAGAGTGTGGGGAAAAGCACAGATACCTAAAATCGGGGCAATATAGACACAATATCAGGAGTTTGTTGAAAGTGTGCTCTTTCAATTATCTCAAGAAAATGGCAGTGTCTGTTGATACAAGACTTACATCCTAAACTGATGTAGAAAACTCCTCTGACATTGTAATTGACTTGCTTTTTGTTCTAACTTAAATTCTCGGTTTATGTGGGTTCTCAGTATGTGATACATGTACTGATTGGTGTGTAACAGGTTATTTTGTGTTGCACTGGTGTTTTGTTGTTATTTTTTAAAAAAGATATATCTTAGTAGGGGAGAAGGAGATTGAGAGAGACTGAAGTTGACGAAACCAAAATCCTGCTAAACCCCAAGACTTTTGTGTAAGGCTTAAACACACAAACACTAAAAACCTAAGGGTTGCAGGCAAAATATGTAATAAATATTAGTACTGGATTGCTCAAAAAAAAAGAGACAAAAAGTGTTTATCTTTCAATATGTATTTTAGAGTTCTGCCTTTTTTCCTTTTTTTTTCCAAATTATGCTTTTGGGTCAGTGCATCAGAATGGTTCCTCTGTCGATCTGCCTCAGTAGTGTGCCCATGGAGAGCAAACATTTAAAATAACTGCTTCTGTATTTTAAGGCTGGGCATTACAGGATTGTGTTGTTCCGAAGCACAGCATTTTCCTTAGAAGTTGTTCCTGAAAAGAGTAACTATAACAGAGCACTTGGGCTTACTCCTCCTGCTCAGGCAAGGGGCTGTAAGGGTTCACGTTAACTGCTGAGTAAGAGTGGGACCACTGGGTCAGGTGTATAGCTCAGGATACCCCTTCTGATGAGGTTGCCATACAGATGTGACATAGCTTGATTCATGTCCTTCTGTTTCAACTCATGCATTTGCTTTGCTTGGCTCTTCCAACAGATCCCGCCTCAGTATGGTCAACAAGGTGTAAGTGGCTACTGCCAGCAGGGCCAGCAGCCGTACTACAACCAGCAGCCGCAGCCTCAGCACCTGCCGCCCCAGGCACAGTATCTGTCGCAGGCTCAGCAGAGGTACCAGGCTCAGCAGGTAAGTGCTGTCCTCTGCTACTGACAGTCGCCCCGGAGGTGGAAGTGTAAAAATGATCTGTGTGACATGAACAAAACCCACCCCTTACCTTTTTGAGGGAACAGTGTTAATTAAATAGCAATAATTAAATAATAAATTAAGCAAAATTAAATAAACATGGAATCAGACCATATCCTTCTGAAGAGTCTTTAGGGATATACACACAAATACAGACACACTTTCAGGCTTTATTTCATATAAAGCCAGTGTATATACCCTAGCAACTATTAATTTTGGTTTTAAAAAGAAGTAACAGTTTCTTGATGAAATGTCAGTGGAGGCTGGAGGGTTTTTTTGCTTTTATTTTGTTTTCCCCTCAAAGTCAGATGTTGTTGAGAGCTCCTGCATCTAACGTGGTCACTACTGTTTTGGGTTTTTTGTTACTTCATTTGAGAGCAGATGAGTTCAAGGCATTTCGGAGCTGCTTTGTCAAGGGAACTTCGTAAAAGATATTTTAAATGGATATTACAGCTATTAATTTCAATCTTGTCAGTTTGCACATTGAGTTAGTGAAACTGCATAATTTGATATCCATTGCTGGTTTTGAATTGTGCTTTATATATTAACCATTAAAATTAATTTAAAGTGATTCTGTTTTTAACTGAGATCAGAAGTGATAGTGTGCGGGTCTGGTTCCAAGAGCTTGGAAAAACACTCAGATTTTAGATGCTGAACAAAATGGATGTGCGTAGCTGATGCAGTTGAACGTGTAGGCTCAGTTCTGTCTGTAGTCTCAGGTCTGTTAATCACGGAGAGGTGATCTGGAAATGGAAGGATGAAACTAAAGCATACTCACCATCCTGGGAAATCTAACAAAAGTGAGTTGCTCAAGATTGGGTATTAGTGGAAGCATCAGCACTTGCTGCAGATCACTGGGGAATTCTGTCAGGCATGGTTGATTAACATTTTGGGATAATGCTAGTGCAGTGTAGAAATCTTAGCTTGAAATAAAAATAGTGTGTAAAATAAACTAACAAAAGATGCTGTAAGTGCCAATGATACTGGAGGCTCCCCTCCTTTGACTTTAAAATAAAGCTATGATAATTTCACTGTGTAATTACATGTTAATTTTTCTTCATCTACATTTTAAAATTCCATTGAGAATAACTTTTTTCATTAAAATGCTGGATGGTTTATGAAATAGAATTCTTAATTGTATCTATGATATTCTTGTAAATGTCACCACTTTCCATCTTTTGGATTATATGTAACTGCAACTTTAAAGATTACAGTTGTGTCTTTAAATTTAATTTTCTTCCTTTTTACTTTGCCATTAAATGCTTGATTTCTCTATGACTTGAAAATACTGTTCATAAGCATCTTAGTAAAGTCTTGGCAGATAAAGTCCTAGTAATACAGCCTATGAGATAGAAGAAACACAGCTGCTCCAATGTCTACATATCACAGTTTGTGAAATTGAAATGGTTTTTTTGCTGTCTTGGACACCTCCTCATTTTAAATACTGTCAGTTGAATGGATTGAGTATTTTGATTTAAAAAATACACAAAACATACCAACTATATATAGAACTTAAAGTATAACAGGGTACTGATTTATTTGTTGATAGGTGTTCCAATTACATAGTTTTCTCTCACAGCTGGTAAAGTGAAGGTTTGTGCAGTGAAGTGAGAGGTATCATAGAAGGATAAAGGCAAAATTAGAGTAAAGCCTTCCATATATTTTGGACTTCAGAGAACTGGGATGAAGAGAAAGGTGAGAACTGATTCACAGGTAGAAGATACCAGCCTCGATGTAGCCAAAATGACCCTGTGATTAGCTCAGTTGGTTAGAGCATGGTGCTGATAACACCAAGATCATGGGTTTGATCCCCATATGGACCACTCAGTTAAGAGCTGGAGTCTGGCCTTGTGGGTCCCTTCCAACTCAGAATATTCTCTTGATTCTGAAATTTCTTTTTTGAGAATTTTGCAGGAGAGTCTAAATCCAGGCTCCAAGGGTAATACAGGTATCTGAAGGTCAGTAGGCATTTTTGTCTCAATCTGCAAGTTGAGATGATGCCTTAGGTCCTCACTAATACAGCCTTGCAGTTGGTAATCCTTAGCTGTAAGAATTTCACCTGAATTCTTGATTGTTTGTGAATGTCTGTTTTTCAGTAGTGATCAGCCTCTAAAGGTTTGAACTCCGATCCCAGGTTCTCAATTATACTGGCTTTTTTCCTGGAGTATCTGTGTGTAGATGGGACTATTTTGTATAAATAATAAGTAGTCCCAAACACCTTGGGGCTTGCTTCTTTCCCTATCTCCGGATAGGTTCCATTGCTGCTCATCCCCCTGTCTCAAGCTGAGTCATGAGGTGAACACTGTAATGTTTCTCTGTAAAACCTCACCACTGTGTGCTTTCCCATTCTTTGGGAACTGCTAATCTAGAAACCAATTCCTGACACAAGAAAATTGAAGTCAATACTTCTGACACTTCAGCAACAGTGTTCTTTATCTGACAATAATCTGTAGCAGAATTACTGTCAAGTAGTAACCAGTGTACAAAACAAAAATTAATACCAGGGTAACAAAAAAGTTGGGAGCATATGCCAAATTCTTCTGCTGACAAAAAAAAATTAAAAATTGTCCTTATTTAAGCATACATGTCTCTGTTTATGAGACTGATTACTTTTCAGAAATAGTTAAAAAATTAGAATTTCTTTGATTAGAATTTTAGCAAGAGAAATAGGAGTAGGTACTCATACAGTTTTAGGAGCCACCAAGTGGGGGAACGTGGGTGAGAGCAGAGCCAAACTTATCTCAGGGGTACACTGGAAGGACAAGAGACAGTGGGGACAGACTGGGAAAAGGGAAGTTGCAACTTGGTAAAAGAAAATAAGCCCACAAACCTGAAAATGAGAAAACACACAAAATTCCAGAGACTGGAATTTCCATCCCTGGAGAAATTTAACTAGACAAGGCCCCCAAGCACCCTGTTCTTGTTAGACTTGCTTTGAACTAGAGGTTTGATGATATGACCCCCCTCTGAAGGTCTCCTTGAACATATGTGATTGTGTTGCTGTGGCTTAATACTGGCTTTATACATTCTAAATACAGTTTAAAAATAAACTACAGAATCATATATTACCTGTTGCACCAGGTGGTGTATCTTTCTTATTTCTACTCTTAAAAATATCAGTACATCCTGTTTATATAATCCTGTCAATTAGGAGACCGAGGTAGTCTCAGTCATACAATCTGTCATCCTTTCTGTCTGTCATCCTTACTTGTGCTTGCTTTTTCCAGCTTGCAAATGAATTTCCTTCATGTTTTATATATTCTTCATTAACTGTTTTTTTGTCTTTCTATACTGATTTTGTGATGTAAGTGTGATTGAACTGGTTTTACTTCAGGACAGAGAATGGAGATGCCAGATTGGAGAAAGAGGGCTTCTCTAATTTACCTTCTTTTCCCTACTGTATTTTCTTCATTTCCCTGGTAGATTTATGTCAATCTGCTTGTTTTGGAGATTATAAAGCACAAAGTAGTGTTTATTCTGGCTGGATGATGGACTTTTTCTTGACACTGGTTTCCTTTTATGTAAAACCCTGTAGTGTGATGTTCTGGGTATTCTGTTATGGGGAGAAAACTGATGCAAAATTTCTTACAGATAATATTTTATTTTTGCTCTTTTAGACAGAATGTGAGTGAGCTCCTGCAGTCAGGTATAACTCTGTGTTGTGCCTTAGAATTGGTACTCATCTTCATTTCTCAGACATTGTGGAAGTATGAAACCATTGCTGCTTTTCCTTGACTCACTTGAATTCAATATGCAATCTTGTCTAATAAAAGTAAACAGATAAAACAATTTCTGGGACTGTTCCAGTGACTTGTGACTTTCATTCTTCTAATAAGCATAGAGGGGAAGGAGGAGAATGGGATTTGTTTGAATGTTTGAACTGTTAAGTTGTTTAGATGTTTGTTAAATTGATTGCATGGTGGGCAGAAAGGGAGTTTCATAAGAGGTGATTTGACAGTAATACTGGCACAGTTTACTGTAGAGCCATATTGTAAGCCAGCATCAGTCATCCTCTCTTCATATCAGGAGCCTGCTGTGTAAAAACCATTAAAGGAAGAGCTTTATTTTAAGCAAATTTATTGCAGTAGCAGATTCATTGATCATTAGATATTGTAGATATTGCCAGTAGATGTAGATACTGCCTTTTTTTTTTAAACTTTTTTACCTTTATTGCTCTTTAAAAGAAAAAAAGAGAAAGAAAGATGTGCTCCACTACTGTGGTGTTGCCCTTGGCAGGGTTTTTCATCTTGAAATTGCATATAAATGAATAAATGCTTCAGTTGTTTTTGCAGTTTTAAATATTTTGCCATAAGTAGAAGTGATATTTTGCTCAAGAATGTCATGTAATTGCAAACTTAAACTGTCATCATTAAACATTATTTTGTTAAGATAGTGTGATGTATATTTTTGGTTATTATGCTTTCCTGGCATTACAACTGGCTTGTAAACAGCCATGTTTATATATTTTCTTGTTTTATGTAGCATGTGTTCACATATATTGAGACAGGATCATGCCTTTGAGCTTTATTGTGTTATTTTATGAGTTGGGACCTTATCACTTTTTCACAGATAAAATGGATCTGAAAAATAGTTATGGTCTCACTCTTACTTAAACAAAAGTAATGATTTTATTCTACACCTGCTGCTGTTACTCTGAATGAAGCTGTCCTTTGTTTTACACATTTCTGGAAGCTTTCTGCTTGCAAATTTCCAGAACAGAGTGGGATTATACGTGCTGATCTCCTTTCTCATGTGCAGGCATGAGATTAAGAGGGGGAAAAAGTGTGGCAGGTCCTTGAGGTGGAGCGTGCATGTGCCCTTTTCTGGGGCATTGGTCCTTCCAGTTAACTGTTCACAAAGTGGTTTTGTGTGTGTTCTTACGTCATTTTCTTGTGGTTACTAGGGGTTTTTTTTAAATGTCTTAAAGGAACAGTGCAGTAGTT